CCCCGCCCCACCCCACCCCACCCCACCCCACCCCGCCCGCCCAGCTTTTCATATGCTAGTGCGTGTGACATACTTATGGCATAAAATTAAATGTTTATGAAAATTTTTTTAAAAAAATGTTAACATAATAATCATAATAATCATAACGTAAAAGTCCAGGGATCATCATTTCGTTGTCCTCGCATCCCTGGAAAGCACCTAGCAGCACCCACTGGGTCGAGAAATCCAGTATAGCAGAGGCTTGTGGCTTTATTCTTGAATTGAGCTAATTCAGTTGGCAGGGTCAGCATTGAACGGGAGACGATTGACGTCATCGAGAGTCCACTAATTATGTCAACAGCAAAAATATTATTTTGGGAAAGGGGGGAGGGGTGTTGGAAATGATTGACAATTGTTGGCATCGGGGAGCTGGGATTAGATCAGTTGACGTCAACAATCATGTTTTCTCTATTAAAATTTGTATCCTAAAAATTGACTGGTTATTTATTTTATTTCTAACAAATTTAATGAGTGTAAACCAAAATATTTTTAGAATTTTTATTTAAATAAAATTTTAACGTATTGATTAACAAGCTATAGATGTAATAAAATGATTTTCCTACAATTGTGTGTTATTAAAATAGATCAGCGCAAAGAAAAATGTATTTATATATTTCTTTATAAATATATTTCTTTAAAAAAGGAGGGGGGTATAAATGTAGATATAATTACTTTTAAAAAATGGGGGGAGATCATTGAAAGTTTGACAGTTGTTATAGGGGGGGGGGGGGGAAAAAAAAAAAAAAGGGGAGAAAAAAAAAAGAGGGGGGGGGGTCAAAAATTTCTTTAAAATTGTTGACGTAATAAATCAAATCCCCATTGAACAGACAATGACTCATAACACGATAGAAAAATTATTAAATCAAAATTTTCATTATAATTTATATTATAATGTTATTAGTTATTAATCTCGTTGCGATTTTAAAAGAGTTTCTTTTTTGTATGGTTCCATAGCCATTATAGGGAAAACCCAAATTGATTTCTAAGAAAAACTGTTCCATTATTTTTCGTCCATTTTTACTACACGCACCGGCGGTGAATACTTGACATTCGAATGGCTTGGTGGAACTAGCAGTCAGCAGCAGCGTATATCAGGTCTTTCGAATCAATGGATTCATGAAATTATCTTAGGGAGGTAGTTACTTATTTATACAATGCGCTAGCCTCCATAGAATTTATGATGTTTTGTTAACACTTTCCATGAGTGAAAAAAAATTGGCCTACATTTTAATTTTAATTGTTAATTTAAGTCAACATAAAAATAAAGAAAAACAACAATGATTACAATGGAAGGTACTGTGGACACCGCACCAACTTTGACATTTTCGGACATGGGACTCCCACCAGTCACCAAACAACCAGTCAACACGCCCTTTGGAAAGGCAAGTCCTAGTCATCGCTAACTTAACTTATATTTTTAATTTAGTGTATAAATTAAAAGGTCAAAGGCCTATCGCTTTAAATACGTATAGACCTATAACTATAGTTAGTATAATTATTATTTTAGAAATTGATGAAGCTCATTCTTATGCAATTCACTCTATTGATATTGTATTAATTAATGATAATGGATAGCATTGTCATTGATGATTGGTGATAGTAAATGATGGATTACTGATTACTAATCAGATTCATCATCATGTCCCTTAGTCCTTGGACCGTTGGGACGCCACAGATGACGTGAATTATCCTCTCCATTCGTCTCTGTCTTCTGCACTACGCACAGCATCGCCCAGTGTTAGTCCTGTCCAGTCTTTGATGTTATCCTCCCATCTTTTTCTTTGTCTTCCTCTTCTTCTCCCTCCTCGTGTGGTGCCCAGCAATATTTCTTTGGCAAGCCCTTGTTTCCTTGTTACAGATTAGGTTTATAAATTTAAGAAGAAAAAAAATTTAAACTATTTTTTAGTCACCGTTTTATAGATAAGCACTTTCATATAATATAAGCATTTATACTACTAGTGCTAGATCAGATGGAATCACCCACAACCAAATTGACCATGTTCTAATCGATCAGAGGGATGGATTAGATATACTAGATGTAAGAAACTATTGAGTAGCAGATGCAGACTCTGACATCTACTTGAAAGGGTTAAATAAAAGAACAGAATAAGCGTAATTCACAATGGCCATAATCAAAGAGAGAAACAACATGATTAATTAAAGTTAAACCTTACCAAAATTAAGTAGACGCACAGCGAGAAGCATCACAGGTGGAAGTGAACTGGGAAAACAACATAAATGAACAGTGGGATAGGATAAAAAGTGCTATGAAAAATCAGCTGAAAAAGAAGTAGGATTCCAGCAGACTGAGGATAGAGTCGGCTGGTTTGATGATGTATAATAATAATAATAATAATAATAAAGTTCATTTAAAAAAACACGCTTCATCCCCAAAGGCTCGAAGCGCTGTACAAAGTCAACAAAAAACATATCTATAATTCACCACATTTAAAACATACACAACACTACAAAAACTAATTACAAGCATACAATATCAAAGTCTTTCTAGCCATTTCAACCCGGAGCAACACAGCAACACATGGAAAATAAGGTAGACAATCATCCCAGAGAGACTGTCAAATAAAAGAACAAAACAGGAATGATCATGATTTAAAGGGAAATCAGAAAGATAATACAAATAAATAAGTACAAGGAAGCAAGAAGAAAAGCCACAAAAATGGGTAGGAAGAAAAAGAGGGGATGGGAAAAAGCTAAGCTAAAAGAAATAGAAGACATATCAAGAAAGGTAAATATCAAAGAAATGCACATTACGATAAAAGATGAAAAGAATGGATTACCAATCCAGATGTCAAATGTGTAAGAGCCAGGATAGAGAATTAATTCTAGAAAGTAGTAAAGTACTAGAGAGGTGGGCTGAATATTTTGAGGACATACTGAATGCAGACAATAGACAAGATGAAGATTATCAACCACTACATGGAGGACCAGACCCTTTTATAAACTCCCCCAAGTCTAGAAGAAAAAACTACAGAAATAATCAATTATAGAAAAAAAACACAAAGCCCCTGGAGAAGACCTCATCACAGCGGAACTTATAAATGTGGAGGAGGAGAACTACAGACACATAAACGCCATCAAAATGTAGGCAAACTCATACATCAATCATACAACAGAAGTTCCGCAGACACCTGAGCGTTTCTTTGGCCTCTTTTTTTATCCTCCCAGTGGCCGCAGTGATAATTCCATGTAGTTGTGTAGTAATGTTACCAAGCAGCTGTAGCTTAATTTCAACAAGATAGGCCTATTTGTTATAGGCCTTGTGAATTATCTTAGCCAAAAGATTAAAATCTAAGTGAGATGCACTGTTAATTCCCTCAGAAAAAGAAAACACTGCTAATAAAAATTGTTGCTACTCTTTTTTTTCTTTCTTTTTTTTGTAGTGATCGTGATCATAAGTCATATTTTATAAAGTATTGTTGAAGTTATCATGGTCATAAGTCATATTTTATAATGCATTGTTGTAGTGATCATGGTCATATTGTTGTAGTGATCGTAGTCATAAGTCATATTTTATAATGCATTGTTGTAGTGATTATGGTCATATTGTTGTAGTGATCGTAGTCATAAGTCATATTTTATAAAGCATTTTTCTTCTAACAGATACAGAGTTGTAAAGATCTGACGAAACTTGAAGTAACTTTTCTTTTTCTCATGCTGATTTCCATCATTACTGCCACTGGCTTCACAATTAACAGACTGTCTACTGTGGAGAAAGGGCATCCTGACATCACTTTTGGAATATTACTTTTAGTTAATGCGGGTAGGTCAGGCGACACGTTACACCTTATGTGCTTTGATGTTAAGTAGGACTGCGGGGAAGAAGATGTTTTTTTAATAAATCTGGCTAAAGCTGTACCAATCCTTACTTTGACTTACGACATCACATATGTTACCTTGTATTGCACAATGTTGCCCTTAAATAAACAGTAAACAATTGTTTTATCCACGTGTTTAATTTAAAACAATTAACAAGCTCAAGGATAAAATCCTCAGTGGGTGGCTTGAACATAATGGGCTAGTGTTAATTGGTTGACTCATGGAGCATAGATATTTTGTGGCCTGACAATAATGGGCTTAGTGACAAATGGCTGACACATGCAGCATAGATAAATTACAACAAGGGACATTGCACTTCAAAACTATAAAACAGTTTTTATAATCATTGTTCAACTGAATTCTAGGCTACTTCATATTTTTGTTTGTTTAGGCTTGAGAAAGAAACATCATTAAATATCCTATCTAATTAACTACATCTGGTCACTCTTGAACGAAAAGCTTTTATCTGAACTTTAATTAAACTCAATGCACTCCATCTACAGTTTTCTCTGTCTGGTTCTTGTTGGAAGGGATCTTCAGAGAGAGGCCCTCAGAAATCCTGATACTGACTATTGCTATAGATACTGTCATGGTTTACCTCATCTGTAATTTTGCAATGGGCACACAAAATGAGATCAAGCTGGTAAGAAAGATGGCATTAATGATATAATCTAATGGCATTAATGATATAATCTATTAAAAAAAGGAATGATGTCAAATTAATGATATAATGTACTAAAATTATGAATGATGGCATTAGTGATATAATCTAATGATATTAATATAATCTACTAAAAAATATGAAAGATGGCTTTAATGATATAATCTATTAAAAAATATGAAAGATGGCTTTAATGATATAATCTACTAAAAATATGAAAGATGGCTTTAATGATATAATCTACTAAAAATATGAAAGATGGCTTTAATGATATAATCTATTAAAAAATATGAAAGATGGCTTTAATGATATAATCTACTAAAAAATATGAAAGATGGCTTTAATGATATAATCTATTAAAAAATATGAATGATGCCATTAGTGATATAATCTACTAAAAATATGAAAGATGGCTTTAATGATGTAATCTATTAAAATATGAATGATGGCATTAGTGATATAATCTATTAAAATATGAATGATGGCATTAGTGATATAATGTACTAAAATATGAAAGATGGCATTAACGAAATAATATATTAGTTAATAAGAAAGACTGCCATAATATAAAAAATAAGGATAATCAAAAAATCAAAAGTGTAAAAGAAATAGAAAGACGGGACTAATAGATAATCTAAATAGTCATAACAAGGATGTTCTCTATGAAATATCTCAATAATATGAAAAAATGATAATGATAAAAATTCAGCTTATAATTAAATATACAAGAAGTAGATTTAGCTACAGTAAATTTTATTATTTTATTGTATCGCGAGACTGAGATATAAAGAAACCCCAGTAATTTCATCTTGTAAAAAAGTTTAAAGGGATTTCATTTTTGAAGTTTTAGTATAAGAATCAACAGTACTCCATGGTAGCAAATGATACTGTCGTGCAAGAATAATTGACAAATCAGTTTAAAGAATTTGACATGTAATCTTGTGATACTTTTAGGTGCTGGAAATAGAAACATTCCATTTCACATATTATTCCTGCCAGTTAAAAGTTTGTTTTTTTACGCTAATATAAAATTTTTTACCAAAAAATAATTGGGTCATCATCTCATTTAACTCTTTCCATGCCGGGGGTTTTCCCACATTTGTGCCTTACCAGTTTTCGGCCAATGGAAATTTTTTAGGGTGCTCTTATCTATTAATTATTTTTTTTAAAATACATTTCTTTTAGCAAGATCGCGGTATTTCATATCTAATTAAAGGAAATAAGCAGAGAATAAAATATTATTAGTGGGGGTTGTTTTATATGTAACATAAAACAATATGACAACAATAGTTTAAATTTTTCTGGTAACATTATGAGATCAACTTTTTATTTTTTTTAAATGCGCACCAAATTGAACTTACCAGACTACCATATGGTCTGTATATCTGGTATCCTATTCTTCAATCCTCAGAAAGTATGTCCATTTTTTATCATAATGCATTTCACATTTTGAAAATAGTCAATTTAGTGACAGAGTTATACACATTTTGTTATGTTAGGAGAAGTATTATCTTAATCCCCACTGTTGCCATAGTAACAAAGTGGTTTTGAAAAAAAGAAATCATAACTTTTGAACCACTGTATACATCCATGGCATCTTTATATTTTTTTTAATTTTTTAAAATTATAATGAAAGTGCAGACAGTCACCACTATCACTATCACTATCGCCATTCTATTACTATTTCATTCCATTTGGCATTTACCCGACCCAACAGAAAGCTGAAAATCATCACTGGAATCAGAATCAATTGATTTGTGGTTATTGTCTGATGTCTGGAGTAGGCGTGACCATTGCTTTGTTTACAAAAGTTTCAACACAAATTGAACTATTATTTGAAAAAACACATGTAAACAAGCCCTACTTCTAACAGGAAGGAAGTAGGAAGAGTTATCCTTCGTTTAAGAACATAAAAAGTTGGATTAATAGCTGCTGGCAACAAGATATAAATGCATTAATTATTTTATATCGTGGCTCGGCACAAATGTGCACAGTCAAATCGAAGATATACCATGGTTTGGCACGAAAGAGTTAAAGAAGCACACTCAGTGTACAGTTGTCCACTCAGTGTTCCCACAGTTGCACTCATCAGAGTTGTTGATCCCTGTTCTTGACCATTATTGAAGTCCAACCCACTTCTAATACTCTTAAAATATAGCATACTGATCAACCTAGAGATTTCAATATAATATAATAACAACATGTACTAGATGAATGAAATATAGGATTTTTTAAAGCCTGAAAAATAATATTGTTTTGTAATGGTATAAATAAATAATTTTAATTTTGTGTTTTATAGGCTCGGCTGGTCATTGCCTGCATCTCCGCCCCTGTGCTGACAGTCATAGGTCTAGGCTTCATAGCCAGGAAGTATTTTCTGTCAAAACATCTTATATTCCGAACTGTTGGTGCCTCATCTGATTTGCAAGCCACTTATCGAAATCTACTTTACTTTGAAGATGGTTTAAAGCTGGATTTTCAATTAGGGGTAATACCAATATCTTAACTCGGTGCAGTGCAATGGTTTTTTTGTTCTTTTTTTTTTTAATGGTCATCTCACATAATGGGATACCATAGAAAGACTAGCTAATTAATACCCATCATGTTGTATATTTAATTGTTCAGGAAGGAATGGAATTTCATAATTGTGCTTGAAAATGTTTTTTTTTTCTTACAATCATGAATGAAGTGATAAAGGGTTTTATTGTTCTAACACAGATATGTAATAACAGTTTCGGTCGGGTCACTTAAAAACTTTTTTTTTTTTTTAAATTGAAAATTATATTTAAAACCTTCATTTTTTTTACAAATTTAAACCATTGTACTAAAATAATAATTTTATTTAACTAAATCAAAACTAAATATTACTATTCAAAAATATTAAAAATCTCCTCCCCTTACCTATCTGGGCCAATCGCCGGATTTCTCTATAGTTGGACCATACAGAGTTTAACTGACCACGCCCCACACCCTCCCCCACCCCCCCCCCCCCNATTTAAAAGAAACAATAGGTGAGCAATTAAATGTTTATCCCCCCCCCCTCCCCCAATTTAAACTGTCATAGGTTAAAAATGGCCTATTAATTTACAAAACAGTACTAATTATAATCAGAGTACACCCAAATTAAAAGTTAAATTCATACATAACATGGCATGTCATCCATTTATGTATGGCATTAATTTGTTGAAATTCTGGTGATGTCCGCTGTTTATTATCTTTGTATTGTACATTAGCAAATGGCACCAGCTAGCAATCAAGATAGAACATAAGCTCTTAATGCCCTCCCCAAAGCACTACCCCATCCACCTGAGTATCGGACTGCGAAGAGATCTCCCTTTGCCAGGACATCCCCCAACAGAGGGCACCCCAGCCCAAGGACATCCGGTCGGACTCGGGATGGTATTTTTGACATCTTAAAATCTCCCCCTTCCCATTCCGGGGAAGCATCAGACGCCCTCTAAGAGGGATTTCTACAGTGAGTTTTTACTGCGCAGCCATTTGACGAAGCAGCTGGGACGAAAGGGTTGCCTAGGAACAACTTACTTAAATGCTGTGTAAATAGAATCATTGGGATTTGTTGCCACTACCCGCAAATATGCCTCATATTCATTAATGGCAACATGTAACCATGATCCCTACCCTGTTTCTTTGTATTAAGTGGACCTATTTATATATTTCATGTAGTGAATCTTGTCTATCAGAAAAATATTTTATTTTCTACTTCTCAAGATTTCTTTGGTTGTCTTGGTGATGGATGGGAAAGAAATAGAAACTCATGAAATCATCATTTTGATCCTAGGTGTTTTGGTGAAACTAACGTGGTTTATACTGGGGCACACTATGGTAAGTTGTTGTGTGAAACTAACATGGTTTATACTGGGGCACACTGTCGTAAGTTATTGTGTGAAATGAAACTAACATGGTTTATACTGGGGCACACTGTGGTAAGTTGTTGTGTGAAACAACATGGTTTATACTGGGGCACACTGTGGTAAGTTGTTGTGTGAAACTAACATGGTTTATACTGGGGCACACTGTGGTAAGTTGTTGTGTGAAACTAACATGGTTTATACTGGGGCACACTGTGGTAAGTTGTTGTGTGAAACTAACATGGTTTATACTGGGGCACACTGTGGTAAGTTGTTGTGTGAAACTAACATGGTTTATACTGGGGCACACTGTGGTAAGTTGTTGTGTGAAACTAACATGGTTTATACTGGGGCACACTGTGGTAAGTTGTTGTGTGAAACTAACATGGTTTATACTGGGGCACACTGTGGTAAGTTGTTGTGTGAAACTAACATGGTTTATACTGGGGCACACTGTGGTAAGTTGTTGTGTGAAACTAACATGGTTTATTGTATTTTTATTGTGTTGTTTTTTGTTTGTTTAAAGTCTGCAGCCATTCCAGCAAGTTTTTTGAAAAGTAACATTTGATTTTCAATATATTTTTGCTGCAGGCTTGACACAATGTTGGTCTTAAACACTTTAATCTCATACTAAACACCCACGTCCACTTCAGTTACACTTTGGACTTCAGCAGTAAATAGTTGTAGCTTATATATGAATCCAAATGTGGTCCAATGTGATAAACCAGTTGAACAAAACCTAAACCTCTACTGTACAAAATTAGATGTTAAAGAGATCAATGCTAAAATGATATATCTCTATATTTTAATCTGCATTACAAAACAAACTCTGGAGTGATATCGTGTTAACTCTTGAGTTGGATTGATCTTGTGTTAAATTAGACTCAAGAAGTCTAATTTTTTGCTCTATGTCTCCTCAGTTGTTTAATGAACAAAGTAATTCTCAGCCATTCTAACAGAATTTAACTTTTGTATTTAACATTTTTTTCAACAAAGTTCAAATCAGAGGTTACATGAGCACACAAATAGCTTGAAGTGACTAATCCATGTTGTTGGCCAAGTTCTCACATGTTTATTTATAATTCCATCTATAAGTAAACTATATGACACTGTGAATTACATTCAAGAAAATGACTCCCAAATGATGTCATCAAGATTTGTGGGTAGGTCCACTGAGAATATGTTAGTCAAGGAGTGCAGTGGAATGGCTCCAATTTGGCTGGTGGTGGAAGGGCTCCTATTTGGCTGGCTGTGGAAGGGGTCCATGTTCGATGGCAGTGGAAGGGGTCCATGTTGGGTGGCAGTGGAAGGGTTAAACATAGTTTGAGGGTAAATTAATTATCAAAAATGGGTGTAATTTCGTTAGATTTGTGTAATTTCACAATTTGTTTAAATTTATGTCATTCAATCAAAAACGTAAAATATTTTTTCCAAATGTTACATAAGATGTTTCATTGCGTTTTTATTGTTGTATTATTTTTTTTTCAGTTTTGGCGGGAATTAAAAGTTGGAGCTTACATCTTTTGGGCCCTTAGTCCAATTGAAATAGGTTATATTATCTTCAAAATTTATGATGTGAGTTTAACATTTTTATTCTCATCCAGTAACATATGTATAGTCATAGAACCGAATTAACTGGTTAGATGTAAGTTCATGAGAAAGACATTTGATTTTTTGGTCTTAAATTAAATTTGAATTTATTATTTTTTTCTCCTCTAACACTCAGCATCAGGGAACAACTAGACATTGCCCTGCCCCAATTGCCTTGGCCCGATTGCCTTAATAAAAACATAAAAAAACTGCAGCAAATTTATTAGAAAATTAAAGTTTTAGAGATATTATTAAATTTGTGTTTTAAAAGGAGTGGATTGGACTTTATTTCCCACCACAACCCAGACAGAAAGAATCATCAGCTACTTAACACTTACTTTATAGCCACATGATATAACATTAGCTACGTAATGCGTACTTCATATCAAAATGATTTCTTCTCTTCTTCTATATCTTAAGGGCCCACGATCAATTTATTGATCATTTTGGCTCCTATGCATGTAGATGGGATTTGCAATGTTTCTGTTACTGGTGGTGATTTAACATTAGCTACGTAACGCTTACTTCATATCCACATGATATAACATCAGCTGGGCAACCATTCTAATGTCTTTACATCCTTCCTAAATGGATTAATCACAAATTTTAAATGTTATTTTATTTATTTTTTTGCACTTATCAGAATTTTTTTTTAAAGATTTCAGGTGATGAAATTATTTTAGATAATTAATCAGTCAAATAGGTTAATTAAGCCAGTGTGTCAGACTTAACATTCAACATTATGCTTCATGTGTCAGACTAACATCAACATTATGCTTCTTCTAACCATATTTGATTTTTCAAATAAACATTCTGATTCATATTACCTAGGTCACATTGTACTTCAGTGACGCCAAGGGCCTGGCCACTGCCACTATAGTGTGCATCATTGGTGCCATCATAGCCAGAGTCCTGGTGATCATTGGGTCTGCTTTTGTTTACAAAGGTTTTGGGAAAGGACTGAAGGAGAAATGTGAGAAATTCTTTGGTTAATATCATTGTTTAAAACTGTGAACTCACTTCCTGTTACTTATATGTCTCAAGCTGTGAACTCACTTCTTGTTACTTATATGTCTCCAGCTGTGAATCACTTCCTGAAAATTATATGTCTCCAGCTGTGTACTCACTTCTTGTTACTTATATGTCTCCAGCTGTGAATCACTTCCTGAAAATTATATGTCTCAAGCTGTCTACTCACTTCCTGTAATTTATATGTCTCAAGCTGTGAACTCACTTCCTGTAACTTATATATCCAAATTGTTAGTTATCCTATAAATAAATCAGTTGTCTCAAATTTATTTTGAAGCACAAGTTCTCCTGCCTGGTGAACAGAAATGTAAGATGACAAGGAACTTGAGTTTTATCCCTGCTACAATGTTAGCATTTGTCCCAGCTGCAATGTTAGCATTTGTCCCAGCTGCAATGTTAGCATTTTTCCCTGCTGCAATGTTAGCATGTATCTCTTCTGCAATGGGGCCGTCCATAAAGTACGTCACGCTATTTTTGACAATCTTTAACCCCCACCCTCCCCCTGTCACAAAGTGTCACAAGTCTCGGACCCCCCCTAAAGTATGTCACACTTTCGAAAATTAAAAAAAAAAAATGAAAACCTAATTAAAATTTAATCTAAACACACTTCACTATTAAACTGTATTAAAACATAAAATTTACACCTAAAAGAATTATCACATTATTAAAATTACTTTAAAAGTAGAGTAGTTAATTGTCAACAGTTGTCACAGTTATTCATTGAAGCAGTAACTCAATCTAGATTGTATTTGAAAACAAAAATTGCAAAAATTAGACTAGACAATTATATAATCTATCGGCATCCTTCCGTCTCGTGAGACGATGGTGCATCACCGTTTGGTTGGGTTGCATTTTCTCAAGTGGCTGTGCAGTCCTAGCCTTGAGTGACAGTCTTTACCACAGTTTTTACACACGAGTTCCGTGCTTCTAAAATTATATAATACACATCATTTATCTGCTGCTTTTTCATTTACAATAGGTGAGGTCAAGTTTTAGTTAATCTTCCAATTATGCAATCTTTTTACACAGGATTAGAAGTAGATTAGCGAAACTTGTCCTCACCCAGTGATAAAATAATAAAAAGGACAGTGACATAATTATGCAGCGGACAACATAATAATACTTCAGGCATGACGAAAGCAAGGCTATACATAAAACAAGGCTTCGCAACAACATACTAGCGCTCCTAGCGAGAGGAATTGTGAACAACACATTCAGCAGATACGCATTTCATGCTATTTTGACATAAAAGTAATTCAAATGTTTCACAAAATGTTTAAAAATTATTTTTAAAGCTATTAAATTCTACAAAAAAAATTTTTAAAATAAATTAGAAATGAAATTTAAAAAAATTAATGTGTGACGTCACACATGGCCTGAACCCCCCCTCCCCCTGTCACAAACTGTCACACTTTCTTACACCCCTCTCCCTCTGGAGCGTGACGTACTTTATGGACAGCCCCAATGTTAGCATTTGTCCCTGCTGCAATGTTAGCATTTATCTCTTCTGTAATGTTATCATTTATCTCTTCTGCAATGTTAGCATTTGTCCCTGCTGCAATGTTAGCATTTGTCCCTGCTGAAATGTTAGCATTTATCACTCCTGCAATGTTAGCATTTGTCCCAGCTGCAATGTTAGCATTTGGATAAAATCCTGCAGGTCAATCATGCTTAAATGTTGAGGAAGATCTGCTTTAAAGGAGTCTTTGTATTCGTTTCAAACAAAAGGAGGGCTGGTGGGCAATGACAGGGCATATTTATAAAGTTAACCACTGTTATTGTTTGTCATAAGTTAACCACTGTTATTGTTTGTCATAAGTTAACCACTGTTATTGTTTGTCATAAGTTAACCATTGTTATTGTTTGTCATAAGTTAACCACTGTTATTGTTTGTCATAGGTTAACCACTGTTATAGTTTGTTATAAGTTAACCACTGTTATTGTTTTTCATAAGTTAACCACTGTTATTGTTTTTCATAAGTTAACCACTGTTATTGTTTGTCATAAGTTAACCACTGTTTTGTTTGTGATTTGTAATACAAATATTATAATATTTAACTTATTGTTAAATAAATTAAATTTAAAGTCCTAAATATACTCTGCAATTGAAAGAAAAAAACGGGGATATTAATAATTTTAGTCATTCCGGCATGGGTCAGAAAAGGTTGGGAACACTGCAGTTACCAATTATTTGATTCCCTTGTTCTTCCAGTAAAGAAAGAAACAAATGAATCTACCATTGAAGCATCTAATGTCAATTCAAGTGCATAAAGACTTGCAAGCAGATGACAGTTCATTTCAACCAAGGCTTATCAACCTAAGAATAAAGATACACTTGAAAGTAACAGCTGACCGAAGATTATGCAAGCATCTATTGATTAACGATTTAGCAATTATTTTCAAGAACAAAGTCCTTACATTGTTTTTCAATGGAGTAAATTACCTGAGTTTTTATGTACCTGTACTCCTAATTCTTGTTCTTCTTCTTTATTTTAAGGGCCCACGATCAATGAATTGATCATTCTGGCTCCTATGTTTCAGAGGGGTTTGCGATGTCACTGTCCATGGGTTTCAATGGGATACTTCACTGGTTGCAAGGGCGACTCAGCAGTGGTGTTATGAACTGGGGGTTGGAATACAGGAGGCAGTAGACACAAATGTGTCTAGTGTAGCCGCCTCAACTGTTGCTTTTGGAAGCTTGTTCCAGTCCCCGATTGTCTTCGGCAGGAATGATTTAGTTTTTTGTTGATTTTTTATGTAGTTTCTGACATGTCCACTAGTATTATGGTGTACTGCCTTATAATAGAAGCAGAGAGAAGAAGAGAGAGAGAGAGTGACTTGCTTTGAACTGCCCCATTTAATTCAGTCAATACATTACATATATATATGGCATTGGAAAAATATTTTTCTTTGTTATAAGTTACAGTATTTTTTGACCATTTTATATTTCATGTTTATACCAAATACTTATTTTACACCATATACCTGTTTTACACCATATACTTCTTTTAAATATTTTGCATTTTATTTATTTTCAATTTAAGGTAAATTTTGTACACATTGTGTGAGTATTAAAATTATTACTTTTATTTATTGTTAGAAATTTTTTAACCCATTTTTATTTTACTGGTGTGTTAAAGGGGTTTGCAAATATAATAAGCATTGGGGGCTGCTAACTTTATCAACATTTGGGCAGTGTGTAAAATATTTTTCGACCTGCCACAGTAAACATTCCATCTTCTAGAGATAATGGTGTCACTTCTGTGTTATTGTCATTTCCTCTAGTTAGTTGTGGCATATAGACTTGCTGCCGATGACAACACATTCTTTAAAATTTTCAGCCCCAATCCCAAATTCCAAAAATCAGTTTTTCCTGCTATTCAACAAAAATTCCTGCTAAGTATGCTGAATAAGATTCTTTTAAAAAGAAAATCACACGTTTGGTGCGCAATATTTTCTTTTGTTTTTCTCAAATTGTTGGTGAAATAAAAAAAATGTTTAGTTTGCATCCGGTTGGGGGGGGGGGGGGCCTCTAATTTGTATTCTTACTAAGTGCGTTGCTTGTATTAGTGGTATGCATGTTTTGTCACATTTCAATCCCCAAGTTTGGTGCGCAATATTTTCTTTTGTTTTTCTCAAATTGTTGGTGAAATAAAAAAAATGTTTAGTTTGCATCCGGTTGGGGGGGGGGGGAGCCTCTAATTTGTATTCTTACTAAGTGCGTTGCTTGTATTAGTAGTATGCATGTTTTGTCACATTTCAATCCCCAATCCCCATTCCTGACTGTCGCATTTTATAAAGGATTAGATAGCAAAACCATTTTTCAAGGCTAGTATTTCCTGATACAAAAAAATGTCAAGTATTTTCATTGAAGTATTCTTAATCATTTTTATACAATGTTTTAAGTTAATATTTGTATGGCTTAAATTCACCTTTCTTAAAACTGCACTGTGTATCCTTCCATGGAAACATTTGTAAAATTGTACAGCAATGCTTTTACTTTTATAAAACTAAATTGTTTTACTAGTCATTACAACACTAGTGTATTCAAATAATGCTTCAGAAGAACAAGTCATAGGGTTCCTCGGATTAACAGCTTTAAGTTTATCACTGCTGACTTTCCATTATGTAATATAGGGTCTTTGATAACCTTGACCTTTACAGTTTTCTTATGTGTGCAACATCATTACCTTTTCGTGCACATACAAGGGAAAGTAAAAATCCAGTTGTTGCCCTTACATTCCTCCAAACATTCCCCAAATGATTATATATGTACTCTGTTGGCAATCAGGGCCAATAAATCAACATGTAGTATGGCAATGTAAAAATAAGTACTTAAGTTCTACTGAGAGTTGTTGGTCACACAAAAAAAACAGATCTTGGCGGCTTGATTGGATTGGCAAGTTCAAGTTAGATGCATTAAAGATTTTTATTTCCGGTATTATGAAATTATAAAATATTTACAACGTTGAAATATCTGAAAAAAAGTAAGACTATATTGAATGTTGCATACAGTAAAGATCAGTGATGGTCGTCTCTATTTTAAACTGCTATTTTGTTTTATGCTGCTGGAAGCAAAATATTTTATACATAAATTTCTAATACTTTATTATTATGGCTGCCTTATCTTGAATAAAATATTCCTCTACACACTTATACTTATTTCTATTATATATTTATTGTGAATTTGTTTAGTATAGCAATATTTTAACTTGGTTTTTTTCTTTCTTACTCAGTGCATACACAACTACTGTTAAATTTGTTTCATACACAAAATGTTATTTAAAAATCAGGTAATAATCATATAATGAGACGCTAGTGTCACTGACCGTATCTGGAAATTTGTTTGAAAGAAAGGTTGTAGCCAGAAAATTTATCGCCAGAAGTTTGTTCTAACGAAAGTTTGGTCAATTTAAACAAAAAATAATTTAATAAATGTTTTGAACTCATAGCTTTTCACTCTATGTGCTAGATATTTTTCTTGAATTATCTGGGTAAAAAATTATAAAAGTGAAAAAAATTTTTGTTTGTGGATTAGTTTCTTTGTTCCACATTTGTTTTACATGCATTGATAGATCTTGGCACTAGAGACCGAAAGGCATTGATGGATCTTGGCACTAGAGACCGAAAGGCATTGATGGATCTTGGCACTAGAGATCAAAAGGCATTGATGGATCTTGGCACTAGAGATCGAAAGGCATTGATGGATCTTGGCACTAGAGATCGAAAGGCATTGATGGATCTTGGCACTAGAGATCGAAAGGCATTGATGGATCTTGGCACTAGAGATCAAAAGGCATTGATGGATCTTGGCACTAGAGATCGAAAGGCATTGATGGATCTTGGCACTAGAGATCGAAAGGCATTGATGGATCTTGGCACTAGAGATCGAAAGGCATTGATGGATCTTGGCACTAGAGATCAAAAGGCATTGATGGATCTTGGCACTAGAGATCGAAAGGCATTGATGGATCTTGGCACTAGAGATCGAAAGGCATTGATGGATCTTGGCACTAGAGATCGAAAGGCATTGATGGATCTTGGCACTAGAGAGCAAAAGGCATTGATGGATCTTGGCACTAGAGACCGACAGGCATTGATGGATCTTGGCACTAGAGAGCAAAAGGCATTGATGCATCTTGGCACTAGAGACAGAAAGGCATTGATGGATCTTGGCACTAGAGACAGAAAGGCATTGATGGATCTTGGCACTAGAGATCGAAAGGCATTGATGGATCTTGGCACTAGAGAGCAAAAGGCATTGATGGATCTTGGCACTAGAGACCGACAGGCATTGATGGATCTTGGCACTAAAGAGCAAAAGGCATTGATGGATCTTGGCACTAGAGACGGAAAGGCATTGATGGATCTTGGCACTAAAGATGGAAAGGCATTGATGGATCTTGGCACTAGTGACAGAAAGGCATTGATGGATCTTGGCACTAGAGACAGAAAGGCATTGATGGATCTTGGCACTAAAGAGCGAAAGTTAAAACTGACTTTCGGCTGAAGCCAAAACCAAAAGTTTCATGAGACTTTCGTCGAAAAATAAAGATTTAAAAATGTCAAAACCCGTTTGTGCAAACGCTCCGCGAAAAATGAATGAACATCTTTTCTGGCAACGTTTGTCCTTAGTGACTCTCATACTATTCATCTTTTCTGGCAACGTTTGTCCTTAGTGACTCTCATACAATTCATCTTTTCTGGCAACGTTTGTCCTTAGTGACTCTCATACAATTCATCTTTTCTGGCAACGTTTGTCCTTAGTGACTCTCATACAATTCATCTTTTCTGGCAACGTTTGTCCTTAGTGACTCTCATACAATTCATCTTTTCTGGCAACGTTTGTCCTTAGTGACTCTCATACAATTCATCTTTTCTGGCAACGTTTGTCCTTAGTGACTCTCATACAATTCATCTTTTCTGGCAACGTTTGTCCTTAGTGACTCTCATACAATTCATCTTTTCTGGCAACGTTTGTCCTTAGTGACTCTCATACAATTCATCTTTTCTGGCAACGTTTGTCCTTAGTGACTCTCATACAATTCATCTTTTCTGGCAACGTTTGTCCTTAGTGACTCTCATACAATTCATCTTTTCTGGCAACGTTTGTCCTTAGTGACTCTCATACAATTCATCTTTTCTGGCAACGTTTGTCCTTAGTGACTCTCATACAATTCATCTTTTCTGGCAACGTTTGTCCTTAGTGACTCTCATACAATTCATCTTTTCTGGCAACGTTTGTCCTTAGTGACTCTCATACAATTCATCTTTTCTGGCAACGTTTGTCCTTAGTGACTCTCATACAATTNCCCCGCGCCTACTTTTAACACACAGAAACACACATCACCGGCCGGAACAAATATTATCTTACATAAAGAAATGGTGACAGCGGGCCATCGAGCTTGCGCTCTTAATGCCCTCCCCAAAACTCCCCAACCCGGTATCGGGCCGCGGAGACACCCGATCGGTCCGACACTGAGCATGCACCCAGTGCACACGATCGACTTTCTCGGGAGTCGGGATGGTAAATTTACGTCCTAATATCTTCCCCCCACCCACCCCGGGGAAGCGTTAGACGCCCTGTAAGAGGGGTCCTACAGTGGGGTTTCCACAACGCAACTAATTCGCGATGCAGCTGGGACGAAACCGAGAGCTAACAATCTATATTGGAGTTTTAATATACAGTGATCTTAATGTTATAGTATGTAATCCAGCCATTTTATAGAATGTTTTTCGTAAACACTGATTAGACGGTTTACTCGAAGTTCACGAAAGGGAGGACCGCACTGCCATCAATGGTAAACAATTGCAATGGGATCAGACTCCAGGGTATTTGGGCGTGAAGTTGGACCAGAAGCTCCAGCTCCATAACCACATACACAAACTATGCGCGAAAACATCACAAAAATTGGGCTTGGTGGAAAAGCTGGTTTGCACCGATTGGGGCGCAGACGCAAGACTGCTAAGGTCCCTTACCTTAGCAGCGTAAGAAGGGCAATGGACTACAGCCGTCCTGTCCAGGCCTTCGCGTGCCGCACGGCTCTAGAGGGCTTGGACCACATCCAAAACCCGAGCTGTCAGGTTTGTATGCGGGGCAATACGCACGACACCCACGGCAGCGGTAGAAGTCTTGGCAGACGTCGAACCACTTGAAATCAGGCGGGAAAAGGCAGTCCTAACGACGGTTGAACGTTGCCGACGAATGGGCAGACACGAGCCCTGTTACCAGCTACGGGATCAATGGGTAAAGAAACCCAGATTAAAGAGACCGTCCTTCATGGACAAGGTCCACAGTCTTGAGGAAGACTTGGTATTACCCCAAAAAAAAACAAGGGGAAAGTAAAGGTGGTCCAGCCACGGGGCCCTCACGAAAGCCTCACCCGACCTGAAATACGCCTTGCCATGACGTCCATCAAAGTCACAAAAGCCAGCCCTCAACCAGAACGAACAGAGGCAGCGCAGAGAACGATCAATGCTTACCCGGACAATCAGGTTAAAGTCTTTACAGACGGCTCGTGCTTCGCAAGGGAAGATAGCTCCACCCGAAAAGCTATCCGGTCCCAATGGGAAAAACAGAACGAGCCTCGATGTGGAGATCGAGGCCATACTGGCAAAGGCTTAGCGAGGGTGTTTGGCGCCCGGGGACAAAATCAATTTTAAAGCGCCCTTTTTTCTTTTTTTCAACTCTCAAACCCATTATTTTTACCAATAATATAATATCAAAGCACATTTTTGCGCACCTAACTAGCTTTCGCCCGGGGACATCTGTCCCCCCCTGCCCTCCCCTTGCTACGCCTCTGCATGCTGGTTGCTCTCAAGAGAGTCCACCAACGCCAACAAAAAAGGAAAGAATTCCCTGACGTAGTGGTCTTCACCGACTCACACTCTGCTCTCGAGCAAGTGGGAAGGTGCTCTACGGAGACCGCGATTGTAAATGCGATTCTGAAGACAGTTGGTAGCATCCAGGCTAAAGGCGGCAAAGTACTCCTACAGTTTATCGCTTCGCACGTTGAGGTGACGCAGCACGACAGAGTGAACTTCCTGGCCAAAGAAGGCACAACCACAACCTGATCAGCCGATGACTCAGGTGGGAGTCACTGCATGGCTGAACCACCACTTTTGGAACAAGTGCCTCGACAGTTGGGCCGCAGGAGATACTGGACGACAGCTATACCGAAAAATACCACGTCCGAGCAAGAGCGACCCCTGGTGGAACCTTAAGAGATGAGAACAGAGCCTCATCACTCAGATGATAACAGGACACTGTGCGATGAGCAGTTGTCTGCACAGACTCGACGATCGAAGGGAGCCAAACAGCCGATTGTGCGGCCAAGCACTAAGAGACAGTGGCTCATTTGGTGGTCGCCTGCCCCAGTGGTGGGATGGGGGCGGAGGGAGGTGACCCTGAGGCCCGCCCCGACGAGATGATTTACGGCGACGCCCAGCAGATGAGGCAGGCCGCCAAATCGATGGCCAGGGCTGTAAGAGACTAAGTCTCTGCTCATTAGAGTATTGAACAATATAGAATGCCTAGCAAAGAGTACAGTGTAGAATGGCTTATGTATGTTACACTTTGACTAGACATTCTATTGAATGGCAGGATTACACACTTGGCCAGTAACATTTAACCATACGAATACATCTAAGCTCTCTTTTTTTAAAAATGTTATTTAAAGAATACAGAAATCAATACTATACCAAAAAATTTAAGTTTGCTTCCACGTACTTTAACTACTACTACTAGGTCTACAATATAAAAATAGTTATAGTAGGTTAATACTATATAGCCTAATAATATAATGCTACTATACATTAGTATTACTGCACCTCTCATTAACACCTAATTTAAGATTAGTATTTTTTAAAATCTATTTGATACCCGGTAATTTATTTTAATTAACTGGCAATATTATTTAATACTTAGTCTACTTATTATGTGTCTTTACTTTTACGGTCTGAGACTCTAAGTTAGAGTCTAGTGTTATTTAGTATTATATAGGGCCTAAGACATAGGTTATAATCCTTTATTATACAATTGTAATCAAATGAGTTTTAGAATAATTTTCATAATAATAACAGTCAATGACTTGTTTAAAATTGTGTAATATATTATTTTAAATTAGGCTTTAACTTGTTAAAAGCCATT